TAATTCAAAACTGATTTCTATTTATTTATATCTGCGGCAAAGCCGTCTAATTTAAGATGTTTAGATCTTTCTAAATTTATAGTAAAATCTAAATACATACATAACTACTGGCTTCTTGTTTGGGTGCAGTCACTCCATGCCCATCTCGTGTGATTTTGCGAGGCTTGGTTAATCAGTCGCCTGTGCGTTACTTAATGCGGACTTAGATGGTCAAACTTTGATATGCAAGGCAACCCCGTTGCATAGGACACGCTCATCAAAATTCAAAAAAATAGATAACTCATTTCGGCTATCTGGATAGATAGATCGAAATGTGTGGCTAGTGAGCTGTGTTTCGTCGGAACGCTTTCAATGCCACCCACAAACCTCTGGTCTCTTGTTAAACTCGCGATGGGGTAAAATAACTTAACACCTTGTATGTTTCTACGGTGCCGTTTTGAATACGTAAGTATGATCCCATCGCAATCCTACTTAAATGCCTCAAAATATATCGGAAATACTGTCATCTACTCAGAAATCGATACGATCTCATTCTTACGCCCCGAAATTATCAGTGTGCAAACAACACTTCAATATATCGTCAAAGTAAGTGTTTTGTTTTTATACCATGTTGCACAGCGAGCAGCGACCGCTACTGCCCAAATGCGACGACCTTGACGCGCAATTATCCGTACGAGATCCGCCGAAAGCGACAACTGCATCGCTTGAGAAACAAGCAACCCATAAGTATCGCTCTTGCGGCGCGCTCCGCTCCGACGTCTGGACGCTGCTGCATTACCGCTCGTCACTTAAAAATCGTTCAGGGCTGCAGCGGGCGTCTTACGTTCTAGAGGTGTGCGTTTTGGTTCTCATTACACTCAATGTAGTTCTGGCAATGTATGTGTCAGCATCCCCACCCGACTCTGCGCGTGAGTAGAAACATTCAAGCTAACGACAGGAGATGTGGACTGACTGAGATTTTACTGCAGCGGTAACAATGTCTGATTGGTATGAGATCTTTCTCTACGTGTCAACAGCCCTTTTTACTGTCGAGTATGTACTGAGGCTATGGTCATGTGTGGAAGATGATCGCTATCAACATTCAATATGCGGAAGGTGGGAGCATTTTTTAGATAGGGACCAGAAATGAAGAGGAATTATAGCATTATGCTGCTGCAGATTAAAGTGGATGTTTCGACCAATGTCGCTGATTGATCTCGTGGTATTGATTCCATTCTACCTGGAAATCTCGCTGGAAAACCAGTACGATGGATTTGCCGAATATGCTGGCGAATTTGTCTTTAACAAGATGGTGGTTTTAAAGTAGAGTATCTGTATCATCGCGTGGAGTCTTGACACTTCGAGGATTTCGCTTGTTGCGAATAATGTCGTTTCTGCATTTGGAACGCTCTTATCGAGCTATGAAGAATTTGCGTGAAATTTTCGCACTGAGGAAAGAGGAGCTAGGAGTCGTAAGTTATCTGACAATTGTCATCGTACTTACATCCTCGACGACTATGTACGTGAAGAACTTAAATGATTCTAATAACTATTATGCCAAACCATCTGATTATTCTGTCACTTTAGTTTCTTCCTGGAAAATCGTGCTCAGCCAAAAGTGTTCTCGAGCATTGGCACATGTTCTTGGTGGGCCATTGAGACCATTACGTCTCTTGGATATGGCGATATTGTACCCATCACTACTGCAGGACGCGCTTTTTCGTCCATGTTAGCGATCTGGGGAATCATTTTGTTTACAATTCCTGGTAACGCCGATATTTATAATCTGTTTTTTGTTCTGCAAAAGTATACATCCTTTTAAATGGTTTTAGGTGCTATCCTGAGCAGTGGCTTTATTGAAGTCATGCTTAAGAAGCAGGAGCAAAAAAATGAGCAAGCTATGGAAGAGTCAATTCGAATTTCTTTGACACGAGAACTACAGTCACGTAGCTCCAGCAACCTTGCATTCACTGGTATGACTACTTGACCTAAGTTCTTTCAATATATTTCTGATGAATTCGAGAACCAGGTTATTGGGACTCACCAAAAGCAGAATTGTACTCACCAGAAGGCAGGGCACA